CAGAACCACAACTATAACCTAAGAACATGGTACCGCAACAGTTAAATTTTTTTCAAGGACTAGATTGACACTAATAAAAGTCTGCAGGGAGACGCAGAGGCAAAAGGAAGCACAATGAGAATCGTTTTGTCTTTTTGGCAATGTCCACAGGACAGGTTGGACCAAATAATTACCTAAGTACTCTCAGGTGGAAGGTTAAAAAACTACACAACTGTATCAACCAGTTTTTGTCACTTTGACCTCCAAGGTTATGTTGTTCTATTAAGCACAACTCCATATAATTGACTCTGTTACATTCAACTTTCTCCTCTATGACTGTAGCTCATGTGGGAGCAGAACCACATCTATCCTTTCACTACTCAGAATGCTGCCGTAAAGCATGGGGTGCCAAGTGAAAAGGTTAGCAATAAAGTAATATTTGGCAAATAGATGATTCATTGATAAATAAAATGACAAACAAGTCCCCACCAGTGACTAACTCTTTGGTGAACTGATAAAACTCCAAGGGGATAGGGAGTTGAGAAGCTCAAAAGTAGACTAGCCCAAGTACTGGTACTTATTCAAGACAAGCCATATTTAGGAAACCAGCCAATTGGACTTCTGGTTCTCTCTCTATATCTTCAGAGGCACAATCTGACTGCATACTGTTACCCTAAACTCCCTACCTTGTCCTTGTCCATTACGACACTGGCCACAGGTCCCAAATGACTGGAAGCTACTTCAGAGAGCTGAGCAGGAATCCACATCCTTTGGGAAAGGCACTAGCAAACACAGCTTCGAATCCCTGGCCTTCTTGCAGCTCCGTAGTTCTACCAGCGTGCCGTGCTTTCGGCCCCAAGTGGGCATCTAGCTGTCCTGCAGGACGAGTGTGAGACAAAAACACCAAATCACTCATTCAGCGTGACTTGCTTTGCTGTCTGCATGCCTAAATCCACGACATTCAAGCCACGCAATTGACCTTTGAATAAACTCAACAGTCCTGGCTCCTTTCACCTTCCTCTCTTGTCCATTTGTCTATAAAGTGCATTCTCTAAGTGGTTCCCAGAACGAACTAGTACTACAAGTATTTCTAATCCAGTAGTAGTATATATTGCTGGTGAGACAACAAAGAAACAAAACAAGCACTATAGAGAGAAACTAATAATCAGAAGCATATGATATCTCGGGACTTTATAGATCAAGTGGCAGTTAATCACACCTGCCAAGTTCAAATCCAGTTCTGTCAAGTTGGGTGAAGACTGGCCAGCTACTTAACCTCTCTGTCATCATTTCATTAGATAAAAGGTTATAGAACAGTATCCCCACATAGTATTATTCAACAGACGTAACATTTGGAGAGAATTAGTAGTGATTAAATGTGGAAAACTAGCTGTTGTTATTATTCCATTAGGTAAGTCAGCTGTTGATGTCACAGAGTAAATGATGGGGCCAAGGAAGGATTTGGGGTTTCTGGTTTGCCTACTGGACAAATAATGGTAGTCCATTCAGAGGAGAAAAGAATGAAATCCATTTAGGAAGATCATGATTCAAACTTGCAAACAGTAGGATTCAGGATCCACTGAGCTCCTTTCCCCCTCATAGAAGGACCTTGTTACTCTCTTAACTCACTTCTGCCTTTCTCCTCACTAGTACCTTATGCTCCATTCATGCCACCTATTTCAGTGTCCTGACCTTAATTACTGCCTTCTCTGTGGCGCCACAGCTCCCATACATAGTTGTAAAACAATGAAAACGTGTCTCATCTCGTAGATAGTGAGCCTTCATCTCTGATCCCCTTCCCGCCACTCGTAAAGACCAGCAGAATACCAGGCACGAGCAAACGTCCATAGGATGAATGTTGAAAGGCAAACAAATGAAACTTTCGCTGTGGAGTTCGTGTTACTAGGAGAGGGATGTAATAGTGCGTTTCCATCTCCATCCCCTCGGACATGCGGGATGAAACGGCAGGTAGGCCCTCCAACGACTTCCACAGGAACTATGCCCTATACTCCATTTCGCTTAGAACCAATAGACGAAGCACGCAACCACCCCTTCATAGACGCTTTACGGTTGGTTGTACGTTAATCGCAGAGGGCAGCAGCGAAGCCCCCCGCGGCCGCAGTGATTGATCCGAATCGAGCGCCGCCAAAGCGACTCTCGGTACCGACAAAATGCACCACCTCTGCCACCACCGGAACTCACTTCTCCAAATCGCAGCGCGCGGGAGAGCAATTCCATCTGAAAAACGAATGACCAAATGCACGGGCATCCTCCGAAACCGAGCTTCTTCGCCTCGGGTTTTCATCCAGCGTGTCAGTCCCTACCGCGTTTAGAAAAGCCACATCATCGTACGGGCTTTACTGATGCGGTAGCCGATGGGTGGAGCTTCTGGAGCGGGCGTGATGCCACAAGAATCGTCGAGTTTAATCAAATAGCAGCACAAAGACCCGGCCAGCGGTGGTGTCTCCCAGCCGTCCGAGCCCGGATGGTGGGCTGCGGAAGTCCTGCGCGCAGGTGCGCGCGGCGGATGTCCCAATGCGAAAGAAATGCCGATCGTTCCACACACTGTCCAACCTCCAGAACTCCCGTGCCTCACCTCCTGCAAAACGCCCGCACCGGCAACCTGTACCTGTCCCACAGCACCTACTCCAACATGAATCCTGCGAGCCACCACCCAAGCGTCGTAGCGAAAACCCCCCATCGTCCAGACCTCACAAAAAGTAATAAACAGAAGAGTAGCAAGATGAATCTTTGTTCTTTTGGGTAATGCCCAGTCAGTAATAGGATAGCTGGGATCAAATGGTAGTTCTACTTGTATCTTCTTTCAGGTATCTCCGTATACCTTTCCACAGAGATTGTAATAGTTTGCAGTCCTCATACAGCAGTGTATGAGTTGTTCTATCTCTCTGCATCCACACCAACATTTATTGTTTTTGGGACTTTCTGATAAAGGCTATTCTCACTGGAGATAAGTGATATCTCGCTGTGTTTTTTTTTTTTTTTTTTTTGAGAGCAGAGTCTCGCTTTGTTGCAGGCTAGAGTGGTGCCGGTGGCGTCAAGCCTAGCTCACAGCAACTCAAACTCTGGGCTCAAGCTCCTCCTGCCTCAGTCCGAGTAGCTGGGACTACAGGCATGCGCCACCATGCCCGGCTATTTTTTCTATACATATTAGGTTGGCAATTAATTTCTTTCTATTTATAGTAGAGACGATATATTAGTTGGCCAATTAATTTCTTTCTATTTATAGTAGAGATGGTGTCTTGCTCTTGCTCAGGGTGGTTTCGAACTCCTGACCTCCAGCAATCCTCCCGCCTCAGCCTCCCAGAGAGCTAGGATTACAGGCGTGAGCCACCACGCCCAGCCTCACTGTGGTTTTGATTTGCATTTCTTTGATTATTCGAGATGTTCAGCATTTTTTCATATGTTTGTTGGCCATTAGTCTATCTTCTTTTGAAAAGAAGATGGACTGCTCTGCTCTGCCCACTTAGTGATAGGGTTGTTTGATTTTTTTCTTCCTGATTTTCTTGAGTCCTATATCGATTCTAGTTATCATCCCTTTATTGGATGTGTAGCATACAAATATTTTCTCCCATTCTTTAGGTTGTCTGTTTGCTCTTGTGATATTTTCCTTGGCTATGCAGAAGCTTTTGAATTTGATCAGGTCTCATTTATTTATTTTTGTTGTTGTTGTGATTGCCTTTGGGAACTTCTTCATAAATTCAGCAAGGCCACATCTTCCAGATATTTTAGGAGAAAATCTGTCCCTTGCCTCTTCCAGCTTCTGGGGGCTCCTGGTATTCTTTGGCTTTCAGCCACATCACTCTAATATCTGCCTCCAAGTTGACATTGCCTCTTCTTCCTCTTCTGTTTAAAATGCCCTTTGCCTCTATCTTGTATGGATACACATGACTGTATTTAGGATTCACTCAGACAGACCAGGATAAGAGCCTTCTCTCAAGTTCCTTAACCTCATCATGTCTTTTGTCACATAAGATAATATTTACTCTTTTGCCATATAAAGTATTATTCAGAAGTTTTGGGGATTAAGGTGTGGATATATATTTTGGGGGGCCAACAATCAGCCCCTTATGGGCTCCATTTTACATCTACTTTTTTTCATCAGGTTAGCAGAAAGTTAGGAGAGCCTATGCTGGAAAAAGAGAAAAGAGAATTTTTCTCCTTTTTCCTAAAAGATATTTGACTTGCTGCTTCCCTCATTCATGGGGAAGAATCAAAAATGTGTGCACAAGTACAACTAATGGCAAACTTCTAAAATCCAAGCAATTTGAGTTTATTGTTTTGTGGTATCCTTTTGTCACAGGAGGTTCATTCTTGTTTTCAGGGACATCTCCATGTAATCCAAAGGCTTTTGTGGTTGGAAAGGCATTAGAGAAATATAGTAGCTTAAGTGCCTTCCTTTTTCTAGTGACATGAGTATTTTAATTAGAAATTCACAGACCTAGAATTTTGGAGATTGGTGAAATTAAACTCAAGATCCACATTTTAGGCCGGGCGCTGTGGCTCACGCCTGTAATCCTAGCTCTTGGGAGGCCGAGGCGGGCGGATTGCTCAAGGTCAGGAGTTCAAAACCAGCCTGAGCAAGAGCGAGACCCCGTCTCTACTATAAATAGAAAGAAATTAATTGGCCAACTAATATATATAGCAAAAATTAGCCGGGCATGGTGGCGCATGCCTGTAGTCCCAGCTACTCGGGAGGCTGAGGCAGGAGGATCACTCGAGCCCAGGAGTTTGAGGTTGCTGTGAGCTAGGCTGACGCCACGGCACTCACTCTAGCCTGGGCAACAAAGCGAGACTGTGTCTCAAAAAAAAAAAAATTACAGAGACCCTTATAGGTGAAGTGATTTAACCAAAAACTACATAGCTATGTGGTTGCAGAACTAGATAAAACTAAAACTCGGGGAGCGGAGATCTCGGGGCTCGGAGCCGGCCGCGCTCCGCTCCGGTCGCCGTGGGGCTCGGTTTTTTGGGGGTGGGCGGTGGGGGGGCGGGGGGGCTCAGATATGGAGGCAAATGGGAGCCAAGGCACCTCGGGCAGCGCCAGCGACTCCCAGCACGACCCCGGTAAAATGTTTATGGGCGGACTGAGCTGGCAGACCTCACCAGATAGCCTTAGAGACTATTTTAGCAAATTTGGAGAAATTAGAGAATGTCTGGTCATGAGAGATCCCACTACGAAACGCTCCAGAGACCCAGCAAGTGTAGATAAAGTATTAGGTCAGCCCCACCATGAGTTAGATTCCAAGACGATGGACCCCAAAGTTGCATTTCCTCGTCGAGCGCAACCCAAGATGGTCACGAGAACAAAGCAACTATTTGTAGGCGGATTCTCTGCGAACACAGTAGTGGGAGATGTAAAGCAATATTTCGAGCAGTTTGGCAAGGTGGAGGATGCGATGCTGATGTTTGATAAAACTACCAACAGGCACAGAGGGTTTGGCTTTGTCACTTTTGAGAATGAAGATGTTGTGGAGAAAGGCTGTGAGATTCATTTCCATGAAATCAGTAATAAAGTGGTAGAATGTAAGAAAGCTCAGCCGAAAGAAGTCACGTTCCCACCTGGGACGAGAGGCCGGGCCGGGGGCTGCCTTGCACCACGGATGCGTTCGTGCTGGGCATGGGGATGCTGGGCTACCCCAACTTTGTGGCAACCTATGGCCGAGGCTACCCCGGATTTGCTCCTAGCTATGGCTGTCAGTTCCCAGGCTGCCCAGCAGCGGCGTACGGACCAGTGGTGGCAGCGGCGGTGGCGGTGGCGGTGGCGGCGGCGAGAGGATCAGGCTCCCACCCGGCGGCGCGGCCCGGAGGCTTCCCGGGGGCCAACAGCCCAGGACCTGTCGCCGATCTCTATGGCCCTGCCAGCCGGGACTCCGGAGTGGGGAATTACATAAGTGCGGCCAGCCCACAGCCGGGCTCGGGCTTCGGCCGTGGCATAGCTGGACCTTTGATGGCCACGGCCTTTACAAATGGATACCACTGAGCAGGTGCTTTCGTTGCCATCTCACTCTGAGAGCATACCTGGATGTCCAGGCAAGACTGGGCGAGGTTTCTGAGTGGCCCTTTGTTTAGGTGATGTCCTCAGACCTGGACCCCCACCAGCCTCACTCCCCATCCCAACCAGAGATGGCTCGCTTGGGATCGAGGGTTGGCTACATCTCATCATCCCACAAATCTGCTGTGATAGAAGACAACAGCTTTTAAATGTGTGTCTAACCCATGATTTTGGTTTGGTTTTGTTTCGTTTTTCTTGATGGTTTCCCATCCCCTCCTCTCTTCCCCTTCTCCTTTGAAATCTCTTTGAATCACATTGAGTAGTGATTTTGACTTAGTCCAGTAGTCACATAGCTGTAATATCTAGTTCAAAGCTAACCATAGTATAATTGTTATATTAAGGAGTTATTTTTTTCTTAAAAAAAATTTTTTTTTGCTTGTTTTGATTCTGTATTTCTTACTTTTTTTTTTTTTTTTTGAGACCGAGTTCTTCACTTTGTTGCCCGGGTAGAGTGGGAGTTGCCGTCGGCGTCAGCCTAGCTCACAGCAACTCAAACTCTGGGCTCAAGCGATCTCCTGCCTCAGCCCTCCGAGTAGCTGGACGTACAGGCCATGCGCCACCCATGCCCGCTAATTTATATATATTATATAATCAGTTGGGCAATTAATTTCTTTCATT